AGGCCTGTCCACGTTTTCTGCCTGTGGTCCCTGCCCTGCCCCAACCTCTTCCTAATCCTTTGCCACATACTCAGTGGCCCTGGGAGAGGCAGAAGCGGGGGGGGGGTCCTCCTTCCTTCCATGTACCCAGCGCTCCCCCTTGATTTTTAATTACCAGGGTTGTGGGAGCTATTGATCTCATTGGTTATTTGCTTTTAGGCCGTTTCTTGGTGGTACCTTCTGACCTGACCTTCTCCCTGCCTTCCTGACCCCTGGGCCTAACCCTCTGGCAAGGCATGCACACATGTGATGTGTATATGATACATGTGCCCCCTTGGGGTGGGACTGCCCAGCACGGCCATGCCTGCCTCTGCCTGGTCCACTTTCCACATGGGGCTGGGTGCCCAAGGGTAGGTTGAGAGCTGGGTGCTGCCAGGTGGCAGCAGGGCTGTGGGCTTTCCCTCTTGTGACCCTCTTGAGTTTCGTCAGTTCTTTATCTTGCCAGCCAGGGCCTACTTGCAGTCTAGGCTCTGGGAACAAATGGGCCCCACAGCCTGCAGCAGCAGATGGAGGGGGATGTACCACCTACCCAGTGGGCCCTGAGCCTTCAGCCCAGAGGTCCCAGCAGGCTGGCCATGATTGCTCTAGGGCTTGTCCCTTTCCCAGGCTGCCCTGAGACAGGCAGAAGTTTGAAATCTTATGTGGGGTTCAGTGGGCTGGGTGTGGTGTGAAGTTTAAAACTTTCTAAGAATGGGGAGAAAGAACCTTTAGGAAACTGCTGCTCAGTGGACTCGACAGAATTGGGCATAGGAGGGAGTCACAGCCGGGGAGAGTAGGTGGGCTCTGCAGCCGCCTTAACCAGCACCCAAGACCTAGTGGGCTTGTTCTCTCCTCTACACCCACAAGCAATTGTCTGTTTCTTTTTTCCCACAGTTTTTTTTACTTTTTGCTGCCTCCTCTTTTCCCATTCCCTTCCACTTTCTCTCTAGAAAAGCCTGCTGTTTCGCACAGGCCAATTTGTCTCAGCAAAAAGATGGCTTTGGGCCAACCTGGTCCAAGAACGCAGGGCGGCCATGCTTGAGGATTTGCTCTGTCCAGCATCCCTCAATGCACAGTGTCTGTGCTTTCCCTCCGTAGCACAGGGTACTGTGGCCCTCCCAGGGACCCCAGCCCACTCTGTGTCACCTGCATGCCTTACTTTTTCATGTCTGGGGTGTGTCCTAGGGTGTTCCTGGGCCACCTCCTCCCAATTCCCTGAACTCCAGAGCAACAGCTGGCCCTTGTCACTGTGACTTGCTGTTGCTCCACTCAGCCTCCAGAAAGAGACTGAAGGGACTAGCCAAGAGGCTTGCGTTAGGGACAGTGGTGGGCCAGAAGTTGATATTCTTTTCTTTTTTGAAAGCCAGAGACCTAGCTCCAATTCTGCTACTGCATTCCTGGTTATAAGCTTTCATGCTAAGTTCTGAAATTTTTCCTTTTTTATGTTTGTGTATTTTAAAGCTTTGTTTCCTGGGTACCAGGCACGTGCCTGTCTGAGCCCCAGGCCTGCCTGCCCATCATTAACTCTGTCTGTCCTTGGGCACCGCTTGAGGTGGTGTCAAGACAGTTCCCTGTTTGTTCCTAGGATGAGAGCCCATCAGTGTTCTCTTCTGCCAGGAAATGCAGGTTAGAAATGGCTAAAGACAGCAGAGGCCGGAGTTGACAGGTTATCCTTTCTTTGTTTTCTTATTTGTTTCTGTTTTAGAGATGAAATGGGGGGTGGTGGTGGTTAAATGGTCATTTAAACTTCATTCTGCAGTCTGCAGAACTGGGGCACCTTTTTCCAAATAAAGGTTTACCTTTTACCTCCCTATTGTTGGTCTTTTTATTAGGACCCTGAAGGGCCTGGGGTCTTGAGATAGGTCATGGAGGATGAGGTGGACACAAAGGAAGAGACTGTGGAGCTTCTGATCCTGGGGTGGGGTTTCAAGACCAAATCCAAAAAGAGGAATTTCTTGTAATTTGCATTTGTTAACCTCCTACTTCCCCGGTCTGGGAGGAAGATGGGCTTGAGCAAACCCTCCGCCAGCCTTTCTTCCCGGTGAGAAGAAAAAGCTCTGTCTGGGCTGCTCTATGCTCACCTCATCTCCTGTCCCTTGCCTCCCCATGGGCCACACCTCATGTAAAGGAGGGCCTGTGCCCAAAGCAGGAAAGACATGTTTTCTTGGTCAGAGCTGCGGCAGCTGTGAGAAGCATGAGGCACGTGGCAGATGCCTCTCGCCGAGCATCTATTTCTGATCATCTCTTGCATTCTGGAGCCAGGGCTGAGCTGTGGGCCATCTGTCGCTGGAAACATTTTCTTCTTTGCCAGGTCTCACTTCTGGGACTTTTGTCCTCCATCCTCTCTATGCATTTAAGCCTTGCCAAGAGCATGAGGAGCCAGGTATGGTGTTCCTCTGAATAGATTCCCAGACCTCAGACTCGACCTCTCAAGAGTCTCTGGGCATCTGAGTTACTTAGAGCCACCTGGTGCTTCAGTTGCACTACCCAGGTTGGGATTCACTGATTTGGTAGAAAGTAAACTGAGCCAGGGATTAAGAACACCACTCGCCATCTTGGCTGGGTTGGTTGGTGACTGCAGGTAAATTACTTAGCCCTCTGAGTTTCAGTTCACATTCACTTGGTGAAATGGAAATTTCTCTTATGAGGATTTTCAGATCTGCTGTGTGCTGCGGCAAGAAAAGAAGGCTCAGAATTACACAGAATTAAGGAGTTTGGGGTAGATGAGCCCTGGCACAGAGGAATCCTGGCTACCTCAGTCACTTGGTGTGGCACAGCACTGGTGCTTGTCCATTGTCGAACAGCATGCCACCAAACAGCGTGGTGGTGTTCAGAGAGGGCCGTTACATCTGATGAGACAATCCCAGAGAGAAGTTGAGAACCTCGACTTACTGCTTCATTTCTTGCTGGCATAAGTTCCTCGGAACACAGCCTTTCTGGAAGCAAAGGTCTGAGAAGGAGAGCTCAGAGGCAGCTTGAAACCAAGGACTGAGAAGGAAAATGATCAACCAGGGTACTTTTTTTTCCCTCTGCAGTTCCTGCCCTGGCATAGCTACTCACTGGAGGATTGCTTTTTGGTCAGTTGCGTGATGGCTTTTCCCACCCTCCTTCCTTCCTCTGTTCCGGATGGACTACCATGGGCTTGGCAGGGACCAGGGAGGGCACGGCTGGGATATAGGCTGGGATGCATCTTGGGAGTGGACTCTGGGGCTCCTTTCCCTAGTGTCCATCAGGAGGATCTGTTGCAGCTCTCGGCTCCCAACACCCTGGTGCACCCAGCCTTTCTGAACAAATGTGCAAAACCAAAACTCTTGCAGATGAAGGCCAGCTGGCTGAGAGCCTGGTAGAGTGCAGATTGGCCTGGGTCAGAATATGTGAATTCCATGTGTTTTGAAGGGAACTTCCCTCTGTCCCATTCCTAGTCTGCTCCTATACCCTAATGCCTGGGACCTCAGCCAGCTGTGGTGAGAACAGTCTCTACTTTCACATCCTTCGAAGTTTTGTTTCCCATGACCAAGTCCTTTCTGGCTAGGGATTAACAGGAATCTATGTATCTGTGCACACTGTCATGTGGGCTAGGTCAGCTAGCCCTCCAGCTGACCTGAGGTGTCCCATCACCACAAGCCAGGCCTCAACAGCTGGTCCCTTCATCCCCACTGGCAAACGCTAAGGGTTATCAGTCAACCTGCGTCTGGGCCAGTCTGCTTAGTGTGACAACTGCTTCCCATGGCCACTGCCCTCCCCAGTAGCAGTCAGAGTGCCAGGTCCTGGCGGATGGGGGGGGCAGAGTGTCAACCTTTTCATCTTCAGGGCTGAGACGTGCTACCCACTTCCAAAGGTCCAATCCAGTTTAATCACATGCTTAGGTTAGGCAGGCACATGCTGTGCACCTAAGAGAACCAGGGGAGCAAGAAATGAGGCAGCCCCTCTCCCCAGGAAGTTGGGTTCTTACCCTCCCTGGAGTCTGCATTCTAAGGAAGGGGCCCAGGCCTGCCACAGGCCTCTTACACAGGAGAGCCGTCTTCTTGGTGCTTGCCCACCAGGCTTCTGTGCTGTGTTGTTTTAGCTGAACTTTCAGCGTGTGGATGACGGCTCTGCCTGTGGAAGGCTGTGCAGTGCGAGACATTGCTAATTCAGTTACCTTCGTGGAAAGGCTTTTGGGATGTCATTTCAGTGGATTCAGATAAGCCTGCAATAAAAGTGCTTCTACTTAACAGTGCACAGTCCAAGATGTCGTCAGTTCCGATGTGGCCTCTCCAGCTGCCCGCTGCCAATCTGAGCGCGCCACACTACTAACAAGGGCAGCTTCCTGTGGTAAACTGCAGTCTAGTCAGGACTTTGTGGAGATGGACTGGGGTAAGAAGTAGGAAATATCTCATCTCCTTTGCTTACAAGTCTGGGTTTTGCTTTTAAGCTGAAGGAAAGGAGAGCAGAGACATGGGACAGAAGGAAGGGTTAAGGAAATGCCTGAGATCCTGTGTTTCTCCACTGATTGAGTTTGTCAGTGTGGAAAGAGTTGACACACAAGGACAATGAAGGGGAAGAAAGGGCATGTTGGGTGGACCCAGGGGTGCTCTCCAAATCTGTGGCCTGGTGACTGATGAGGAGGGACTTCAGTTCCCTGTTGCTATGGTTTCCTGAAGTAAGCTCATCTCCTGGAAGAACCTCCCTTTCTCCTTTGTCCTGATGGGTGTGGTGGGCTTGAGCAGGGACAGCAGGGCTGGGATACACCTGAGGGTGAGAGGGACCTTATCTGCTCCCAGATAAGGTTAGCAAGAGCTGAGTGGCTTTGGCAGGCTGAGAAAAAATGAGACCTCTGAAGGCCTGTGTCCATGGTCCATCATGATGGCGGGGAAGTTTCCTGTTTCCTGGTTTTAGACTCTGCTCCCCTCCTCTCTGGGTTCTTGCAGCCAGTGGCTGATGATGGTGGGAGGCGGTGGGCTGGGGCCCCAGCTCCCAGGGGGAAGAGAGACGAGGAGGCCTTGTTGTGATTTCTGCCCAGCCCACACAACAAGCTGGGGAGACTTTATTTGTTTCAGGGGGAAAGTGAGAACAGGAATGAGATGAAGTGTCAAGGTGAAAGGAAGGGCAATACTGATATGAGCAAAGGAAGGACAACATGAGGACCACACGTCACAGCCTGGGGAGGGCAGCTGGTCATCACAGGGCCCACGGGCCAGGCCCAGCTCTGGAGGCCCAGCTCTCCTTTTTATCAGGCAGGAACTAAAAGGGGACCACGGAGCACCAACATGGAGCGAGAGGGTCACCCCAGTGGACTTGCAGCTAGCACCACGCAGCCCTGCCTGGCCCGAGAGCCTGGTAGGAGGCTGGTCCCTGGCAGGAGTGTGCTCCCCCGCAGTCCTCTACAGGAGGCCTCCTGCCCTTCACCCATCAGCCTGTTGGGCCTGGCACTCCCCTGCTCTCCAAGGTCAGGGACACAGTGCAGGTGGTGGCCTGCCATGGCACACACGCACAGGGGCCCCTGGGCACTCACCAGCCAGCGTCAGACTGACTCCCAGAGCCAGACCGTGCTCTAGGAGGTGGGGGCAGAGAGGACAGAAAGGCTAGAAACAGACATGTCGACGTCTTGGCTCTTTCTGAAAATCAGTGCCCTGGCCCTTGGCTGCATCACCTCATCCTGGGGCCACAGGGCTGCTGCTCTCTGCACTTGGCCGTGCCCACGTGAGCACGGGCTGCTGGAGTGGCGGGCGAGGGGTATGAGAATGTGGTGAGGCCACAGAGGGAGAGGATTGGCAGTTGGTGGATGGGAAGGCTCTGAAGCCAGCTTCCTGGTGTTCCCGCCCTGGCACCTGGCACAAGGAGCCAGGCTTTGGGAGGCCCTGTAATCACCCCTACCCCAGGCCTCCTCCACCAAGCAGCTTTCTCTGACCTCACCATGACCCCTCCTTAGCCAGCAGTTTGCACCAGGGCAGAGGAGCTGGGGTCACATCAGCCAGGCCCCGTCCCTCACAGGCAGTGTAATGAGGTGACACCATGGAAGGTGACTAAGGCCCCAAAGTCCCTGCCTCTCTGTCTCCCCAGAAACCTCACAGTCAGGCCAGCCCCGGAGAGTACAGCCTGTGTAAACAGCCCGGGGGGAGGAGGGGTTGCTACATACGGGAAACAGTTAAAAACAAATTCAAAAGCACCACTGTGTCCTGTGGTGGTCTCCACAGGCCTGAGGTCTCAGCTCAGGAGGGGTGAGTGCCAGGGATTGCAGATGGGGGTCAGCAGAGAGCAAGCAGGGTAAGGGTTCCACTCTGCTTCCTCCTCCCAAGCTTCCCCAGGAGAGAGCCTGTGGGTCAGAGTGTCCTAGGAACTAGGAGCAGTTTCCTCTGTCTACCTGACTCTGGCTCCCAGCTCCCTCTTGCATCTCTTCGCCCTATACCCTGTCATTTCTGGGAAGTCGCCAGAAGCATCTGGGGCTTCTTCCCTGCTGATGAGCAGCCACAACCAGACCCAGAAAGGACCTTGTTTCAGCCTCACCTTTCCTGAGGTGAGCCATCTCTATCTTGGGGAAGGGAGGAACATGGGGACCACAATCCCCACTCCCTGAGAGCTGAGATTGGCCAGTGAGCCAGGGATCACCATGACCATCTCACTGGTCTGGCCAGGGATGTGGCCTGGGGGCAAAGTGGGCACCTCCCTAGGGCCCACTGACCCTAAGAAGAACCTGGTGAGGCTCCCAACTGGGAGTGACCGGCTGGCCTCCTCGGGTGCGTCGGGCCTGGCTCTGGGCCCTGAGCTGCAGGGTGGATGAGAGGCAGCCTCTGGGGCCTTCCCTGCAGGCTCTGCCCTCCTTCTCTCTCTCTCTCTCTGCTTCCAGGCACCAGCCCTTCTCCTGGCAGGCTGGGTGCCACCTACCCAGGTCTCCAGCCTGTCTGCAGGGACAGCAAAGATGAGCTCAGGGTGGCTCCCTGGTGGGAGTGTGTGTGGGGTGGGTGTCTCTGCTGCTGAGACTCGACTCTGGAGGAATCTCCTCTGAAAAACCCGGACCTTCCCACTCTAAAGCATCCCTTGGACTCCTAGCCAGCACAAGCTCTTGACTGCAGAGGAGGCAAACGTACTCTTTTGCATAAACTGGCATTTAAATTTCTTGACCTGATTTGCCAACCTTTAAAAATCAGATTTCTCATCCAGATTCAGGGTTCTGGTCTCTAAAACACAATCTGGCCCCACAGGGCCTGCACTGTGAGGAGAGCTGAGCAGCAGCAGCCCACAGTGTGCCACGGTCCCCATGCAGCCCTCCCGTTTGTCACTTGCTGGCCCTGTGGACATTTGAGTTTACAACCCCAGTTCTGCTGCTCCCCTGCCCAGGCCCACAGCTCCTCTGCAGCCTCACTGAAGGCTGCCCCAGGTCAACACAGCCTCTCAGTAAAACCTTAACGATCGCCACATCAAGTTGCCCTTCTATAACCTCATCCTCTCTCCAGCTTCCTGACAAGAAGCCCTCTGTGCTGGGGAACTCACCCCTCCCCAAGGCAGCCTGATCGTAAACTTCCTCCCACATCCCTTCCTCACTTACACCCCCAGGTCTCGGGCTCTGTCCCTTCTTAGTGGTCCAACTGCCCTTTGCCCTACACCTTCTTATTTGAACTTCCAGAACCTTCTCCCAGCTCTGCCAACATTTCCGCATGCTTTCTCTTCCCTGCCAGGGGTCTCATGGATGATGGGCAAAATGTGCACGACTCCAGGTACTTGGCTTCTTCTCTACTAGCGCCCCGAGGAATCACTAACTGTGGCAGGCCCCTTTGTCCCTCTAACCCACGAGCCTAAAGGGGCTGCTAACGGAGGGGATGTGGGCCTGGGGCACAGCTCTGCTGGTCTGGTCTTGATTTCCCCTGCAAGGGCTGAAGTTTTAGAAAGGGGACACAGCAGAGGCCACTCCCAGAAGAGCCAGGGGAAGGACCCAGGCCTGAAGTCCCACCCCATGCCCACCTCAGCCAGGACTGGAACCCAGGTCTGCTCAGTCCCACAGCCATGCTGACCGACCCCAGTGTCATTCTGGGCCCTCCACAAAGTCCACACCCTCTGCTGGGAGCCCCCAGGCTGCAGTAACAGGCGAGGCGGGGCTGCGCATGTGGACCCGCTGCTGGCCCGTGACCTCTCCTCTGCCCAGGGCCCTCTTCTGGTTCTCCTCCAGCCCAACCCCTGCTAGCTTTAGCTCAGGCCCACATGGTGTGCCTATGGGGCCACAAGGGCCAAGGGCTCTTCTGGGCCACCAGCTCCTGCTCTTAGGCAGATGCGGCCTGAGCCCAGCTCCTGATTTATGGGCTGCACAGACCTTTCTCAGGATGAGTCTACCCTGCTTCCCTTTCCCTGGGTCAAGTTTCTGCCAGGACAGTCCCAACTGCAGAACACCTCATCCTCTCAACCCACACAGGCTGGTGGGGCTGAGAAATTTCCCATCTACAGGATGCACCCAAATCCCAGAGAGCCACTGGGAGTAAAGTCACTGGGGAACCAGCAAGCCATCCTCCCCCAGCCCCGCGGCTCTCAGGCCCCTGAGCGCTGCCCTTCCAGCCACCAGCACATCCATTTGTCATTGTCTTTTTCCCCTAAATACCTTAAACGTCAGTCGTAGAGCCAAAGACTCCAAATAAAATACTAACTGTCTTCTTGACCCAAAGTTAGGGACTTGGCTCAGTGGCAGGGGCAGCAGAGTGGGGCGGAGCCACAAGGCACCCTTCCTGCAACCTGCAGCCTGCCCCCACAACCCCTTCCCTGGAGCAAGGCCAGTTCCAGCAGGTGGATCATAGTCTCCAGAAGCAGGGGCTGGGGTGCTGCTTGTGCCTCAGACTCGGATCTGGTACCCGTTGAGGTCTGGCATGGCTTTGGGCTCTGAAGGCTTCTTGTCACCCGAGGGCCTGCAGGGAGGCAGAGCAGAGCAGCGGGCAGTGAGTGGTAATCGGGAGCTGGAGGAGGAGGGAGCTGCCCTGCTGGCTTCTCTCCTCCATTCTCCTAGGGGCCCTGGAATGGGAGGACACAGGGGAGACATGTTTCTGGAACCCTGGCCAGCCAGAGCCTCCCGAATGGGATTCCTATCTCACAGGGCGCTTGTTCTCTGCTGGAGGTTAGCTAATCTGGTGGCAGCTGGTGGGTAATACCTTAGAGCATAAATCTCCGCAGGGGAATCTGTTCTTTACAAAAGCTTCCTAGGTCAAACTCAATGGTGATGGACATTTTGGTGCCAAAGATCTGCTTGGTATCCCTTAACTCATGCCAGAGGGGTGGCTCCTAAATGACAATTATATTTAAAGCAAGAGCCAGAATGATAGGAGAGGGAATCAGAGCAGGAGATTTGGTATTTTAAGGGCATTTTTTTTTTTTTTTGCCATCTAGGCACAGACAAAACCCACAGACTTTTGGGAGTCTTGGGGGCACAGTTGTGTTCAAAGCTACTTACCCTGGTTACACAGAGCTGCAGGAGACGGCAGGGGGACTCTTTGCCTGGCAGGAGCCCGGTGGCCACCCACCCTCACACCCCCCCATTCTGCTGCCTGCCGTAGACCTTTCTGTCTGGACCACATTGGTCCAGCACAGGGCGGCCAGGGGCCTTCGGAGGGGTGTTTTCTTTGGGGAAATGGCACCACACTGCTGTGGGAGATGCCAACACCTAAACACACCCATCCCAGGTCACTTCCCATGGGTGGGACACAAAAGACAGAAGGATGTGAAGGAGAGGGACCCAGAGGAGAAGAGGAAAGGGGAAGGCTGTGTTGGCCCTGTCCCCATGCAATGTCATCCCTCACCGTCTCTCGCTGCGGCTGTTCCTGCGGTGTGGGCTGGACTGGGCCCGCTGCGGGGAGGACACATCCTTCTTCCGGTCCTTGGTGGGAGAGGGTGGGCCGGTCCCTTTGCCAATCTAGGTAGGGAGGGAGAAACAAAAGCATCCTTCAGGGCTGCCCGAGAGCCAACCTGCCCCACGGAGAGAAGGGCACAAGTCCTGGAGGCTGCCCCAGGCAGGGCCCGGGAAGCCCCAGGCAACCCTCTACCCTGTCTTTGGCTCTTTCCAAATCTATTTCCCAGGCACCGAAGTGCAGCAGCTGCCCAGCTGCCCAGCCCCTGCATCCCGAAGGTGGCACGGGAGCAAGGGAAGCTGCTGGGCTGTCCCATCATTATAAAAAGTCTTCCAGAAGAGGCCTCTTGACTCACACCAGGCCCATGTGCCAAATGGAGAGGTGGCCTGTGTTTGAGCTTTGCCTGGGAGCCTATCAAAGCCAAGAGTGGCACTAGTTACCTTGAACAAGCCAAAGTCAGATTAGTAACTCTGTCTGATTAAGAAAAAAAATCAGGCATGGTGGCACATGCCTATAGTCCTAGCAACTCAAGTGGCTGAGGCTGGAGGATTACGGTTCTAGACCAGCCTCGACTACTTAGGGAGACGCTGTCTCAAAATAAAAAAGAAAAGGGGTTGGGAATACAGCTCAGTGGTAGAGTGCCCCTGGGTTCAGTCCCCAGTCCCACAATAAATAAATGAGATGAATCATTCCTTAGGCAACACGCTCAACTTGACTTGAGTTCTCGCTACTGCGGGGAGCTGGAGAGGGGAAAATACCAGAGAGGCCTTCGTGCTGAATGAGTGGGGAGTCACAGGACTAATGACCAAGTGACTGTTGGTTCCACCTCTAGGTCTAACCTGCAGCCTTGGAGACACAATAATATTCCCTGCAGCAAAAGCAAGGGTGCAGGGGGACCCAGAACAGGGTGCCCGCCTAGGCCAGAAGACAGCAGCCCCTCTCTAGTGTGCAGGGTCCCTGCAGCCCACCTCTGCCTTGGGGGAAGGCACTGTCAGTCCACAGGGTCTTGGTCTAGGGGCTGGCTGAGAGTCCCCTGCCTGGACTCTCACAGCTGCCTGTGACAAGCTCAGACCCTCCCTCAGCAGGCTGAGCTCCAGTCGGATCTGCCTCTCATGCCACCCGCCTGCCCGCGAGTCTCTGGGCTTCCCATCCTGCGAAGGCAGCTCCATGGCTGCTCACCCCAGGGCTGACACAAGGACGGGGCATGAGCCAGTGCCTAGGCTGGTAGGCGAGCTGGAGGCTCCAGGTCATCTGGAGGGGCACAGTCACGGTGTGGCTGGGGCTGAGCAACCAGAGTGGCTGAGCCCAGGAGGGGACCCTATCAGGCCCCAAGGGAAGTCCCTCTAGTCCAGCTGGACCCAGAAAGAGCCCCAAATTCTGACTGCAGAAAGGGGCCAACTCCTCAGTAGCTCAAGCCCAGCTCTTCTGGGTTAACAGACCCCCGAAGTCCCCAGACATCCCCTTGTAGGTGGCAAAGAGGGGGAAGAAATCACCACCTTATTGTCTTCCCTGGGGCTGAATTTCCTTTCTTCTACTCTCCTTCTAGTGTTTTGTGAAAGCTGGGTGCTGGGGCTCAAGTGTGGGGGCACACAGAGAGGGGAGGCTCTTGTGTCCCCCACACCACTCCCCTCATTTAGGTCAGGATTTCCCCCTAGCTGGTCTTTACTCCAGAGTCCCCGCCACCTGGAATCCATGCCTCTGGCCCTTGCTGTGTCAAAGACCCACCCCCATGCCAGCTCCATCCCTGCTTCCTCTTTCCTGAGCTGCCCTTGGCCTGCCCACCCAGGGGACAACGTGGGCAATAAGACAAAAAGGCTGAAATGACGCAGCTAGGACACACCATCCCCTCCCTCATCCTCCCACCACCTCTGCTGGAGTTGGGGCATGGAGCGGGGTGACAGCAGGGAGGGAAGCCGCCAGGGCAGAGCCTGACCTTGAGCCTCAGGTCGCGGGCGTGGCGCTCCAGCTCCTTGCGGAAGTCGTCGCGGCCCAGCTTCTCCACGTCCAGGACCGAGTGCTTCCACTCGATCTGCTCCACGCTGTGCGGGTCGTGGGACACGCACTGGCCCAGCTTCACCTTCTTGAGCGCGTGCCAGCAGCGGCCGTAGGCGGCCTCGTAGTCGAGCACGAGCTCGCTGAGCGTGCGGAAGGCCGGCGGCTTGTACATCAGGTCCTCCCGCCGGCTCATGCCCAGGGCCCCGTAGCGGCCCCCGAAGTTCACCCCCAGCACGATGTGGCGGAAGTAGTTCCCTGAGAAGTAGGTCTTGAAGCTGATGGGGAAGCGTTCCAGGGCGGGCATGCTGTTGGTGAGGTAACTGGCCAGTCACCCCCGCTAAGGAAAGGGCCAGCAGAGCGGGACCAGCATGCGGGGCAGGGCCGGGGCAGCCGCTACCCACCTGCATGTGGCTCAGGGACCCCTAGGCCACCAGCTTCTGAAGGCAGACACCCCAGCTTGTTCATCTCCAAACCCCTGTCCTCTAGCCTCAAGCTGGTGTACAGGGGGGCCTCCTGAACTGGCCTCCGTGGGAACACTGAGGCTGCCGTGATGTCAATCAGAGCTCCCAGAATAACAGCTAACAGGGGTCCCCTACTCCAAACTGCAGGGCTTTCCGGAGCTGTAGGGTGCCCCCCCCACTCCTGTCGATCACAGGCACTTCGCAGTCGCTGGTCCCCCCAGACACCTTCTCTCCATTTTCTCTTTCGCACAGACATCTCCTCACAGATGCACAACATTCTGGTGGCCTCTACTTTTCTCACCATCGCCCCCTCCCCCTACACAGACACTGTCCCTTGACCCTCAAATAGAATCAAGCTGTGGCCACAGCCGGTGGGAGGCACACGGAAGCCTCTCAGCACATTGGTCCCACTTGCTCACCCCCTCCAGGCACCTGGGCCTCTCACCTCAGCCCCTAGCCCAGCTCCTGCAGAGTCTCCTGCCCTGCCCGCCTGGCCTGCAGGCCTCAAGCAAGTCAACTCCCCGATTTTCCTCCATGGCACCCACCACCACCCATTTTCCACTTATTTCTTGGTTTGCTTGCTGTTTCTGTCTCCTCCACCAGAGAGGAAACTTCCCGAGGACAGGGACCTTGGCTGCCATGCTCTTTGCTCTTTCTCCAGGGCCTGTCCCCGAGTCCCGCCAATCACAGTTACTCAGTAACACTCTTCTTGAATACATGGGTAGAAAGGGATGAGTGAGCAAGTGGGGGGCAGATGCCCCCTACAGAGGCTGCACTCAGTGCCCTGGATGAACGACTGTGCCACAGGCACTACCACTACCCCCATTTGCAAGGGAGGACTCCAGGACTTGGAGATGTTAGGGAACTTGCTTGGGGGTCACGTAGTATGTAGCAGAGCCAGGATTAAGCCTGTGGCCTCAGACACTACACCGTGCTTCCTCTAGCACTACTCAGTCTACAAGCGCTGACTGAGCCCAACGCCTTGCCAGTGACCAGGGACACAGAGTATATGAGAAAGGCACAGCACTGCTCGGCAGAGTGCAGTGGGAAGGAGACCCAGGAGCTAACAGTGCAGAGCCCACTGCACTGAGGAGCTGCGGGGACACGGGGAGGGGCCCTTCACCAGACTAGGTACTGTTCCCATTTTCCTTGTGCCCACAAGCCACCAAATGACCTTGAAAGGCCTTGGGACCACATGATCTTGGCTGGCCCAACATCCAGGTTGCTCTGCAGGGATGGAGCCTCTGCTTTAGTGCATGGCTCCTGAAGGAGAGGGGACGAGGGGTCTTCAAGGAGGTGCTGGCAGTGGCCTGACGTTCCTGAGTGGTCTCATGATTAAAGTCACAAAGAGCCCTAGACAAGGTGATGCTGGCTGGGCTCCTGGAAATGGGTCCATCCTATCACAAATGACTGCCACAGTGGAGCTAGCTCTTAGGACCTCTGAGGGGATGGGGCAGGGGGCACCACAGCCTTTTTATGTAAACTTGAGGCAGGTATGTCCATGGGAGAGTGTCACCTCGGTTACAGCCCTGAGGGAGCATCCTTCTCACTTTTGACTTCTCCTGAGACCTAGTCCTGCAGATGCACTTCCTGTTCATTAGGTGTCCTTCCCTGACCCTTCCGGCTACCTCCAATCTGCACTCTCTGCAGCACTGAGCTGGTGGGCTATCTGCCCCAGGGATCATCAATAGGCAAAATGATTCAAGGCTGGCAGGGACCCAGCATGTGGTGGTGCACACCTATAATTCCAGTGGCTTGGAGGCTGAGACCCGAGGATCATCCAAGGATCAAGTTCATGGCCAGTCTCAGCAACTTAGCAAGGCCCTAAGCAACTTAGTGAGACCCTGTCTCAAAAAGTAAAAAGAGATGGAGGTGTGTCTTGGTGGTAGAGCCCCACTGGAGTCAATCCAAGCCAGGAAAGAAAAGCTGGTAGGGAATATGGGAGGGGTGGGAAGAGACGAAACACAATTGGCTCTGAAATGGTAAAGCTGAGAAATGGATACATGGGAATTCATTATATTATTCTATATTTGTACAAGTTTTAATATATTTTAATAAAATGACTCATTAAAAAAAAAGAAAGGTAGGAGCCAGGTGTGGCTCTGGAGGTTGAGGCAGGAGGATTGCAAGTTCAAACCAGCCTCAGCAGCAACATAGTGAGGCTCTAACCAACTGAGCAAGAACTTGTATTAAAACAAAAAATAAAAATAGGCTGGGGACATGACTCAATGGTTTAGCACCTCTGGGTTCAATCCCCCATAAAAGTACCAAAAAAAAAAAATCATGGGGCTGAGGTGCTGACCAATTAAGAAAAGAACTGACCACAAATACCTGCCTCACCTTCCCCTGCTCTGACTGGGGGCCCTGGGGGAGGGCAGCTCCTGGGAGCTTGTCTGCTTCTTCCAGTTGTTTTGTGGTACTGGGGATTGAACCCAGGGGTGCTCTACCATTGAGATATGCTCCCAACTCTTCCTGTTCTTGAGACAGGGTCTCACTAAGTTGCCTAGGCTGGCCTTAAACTTGCAATCCTCCTGCCTCAGCCTCCTGAATAATTGGATTACAGACATGCACCACCTTGCCTGGCAGTGGTACAACAGCCCATAGGAGACACTGTGCCCTATTCAGAATTCAGAGAAAGATCACTGGGTCCATGAACTCAAAAAAGACCTGCCCAGCAAACCTGAAGAGGAAGCAACTGAGGCACAGATGGCTGAGTCCCGAGGCTCCTCCACCTGGGGGAGGCTCCTCACCAAGGGTCAAGTTCCTGGCTGCACAGGGGAGCTGGGAGAGCCCTGGGCCTCTTTCCCTCTCCCCACTTCTGGAACAGGAAGCTGAGGCCAGGACAGGCGGGTCCCCTAGCAGGCCTCCCAGGGCAGGGGAAGGATACATTCCTAGGATCACGGCTTCCAGGCATTTGATTGGCAGAGCCTCTTTGGTCATTTCCTTGGCCAGGTCCATCAGCCTGTGGGAAAGGGAGACAGCGGAGGACAATGCCTCTGGCCCCTTCCAGTGGGGGATGTCCGAAGGAGGGGGCTGGGTTACCAGAAGGCTAGAAGGACAGACCCCCACCCCTCAAGCTGCCCTCAGCTCAGGCTCCTCCCCTTCTCCCGTGGCTGCAGCTGAGGGGGTGGAAAGAGGCCCCTCTCCCTCAGTTCCTTCCTTCCTTTCATTTTCTCTCCCACTTGTCCTTTAAAGACCTCTGGGGGAGGGGAGCAGCACGGAGGACAGGACCTTGACGGCCACTGTGCTGGGGCCTCTGCAATGACAGTGGTAGGAGGAGGTGGGACCTTGGCATTGACCTCTTCCCTGCCGGAGCGCAGTGGCCATTCCTGACTTAACCAAGGTGCCTTTGAAGAGCCGGCTAATGGATGCAACTGCTCCCCAAAGCCCAGAAGTGGGGTCTCAGGCAGGCGGCTGCCTGGTGGCCCCCCACCCCCACTCCCGCGGCCTGCTCCTGAACTTGGAACTCAGGTTTTAAGAGAGTCTGTCCTGGGGCCCGGGGATTCGGCCTGGCCACTGGCCTTCCACAAGAGTGCCTGGATTCCTCCACCTCAGGGGCTGGAGGCCCCCCCCCCCCAGAGAACAAAGCTAGGGGCCTAGGGAGGTGGATGTTCCCCCTGGGGCCTCAAGAGCCGGTCATTCAGTAAATAAAGCATTTAAACCTTTTTTTTTCTTTTTTTTTTCCATAAGAAAGCAAACATAAATTATGTGTGGAGCAAGATGCAAAATTTATCTGGGTTTTAAAAATTATAAACTCCTGGATTTAAAAATTTTAAGCCTATGGGCATCTCTGGGCCATGCCCCCAGCCTCAGCGGCCATCCTCCTCGCCATTCTGCCCTTGGGGCTTCCCTGGCAGAAGTTCTCTAGAGCCTGGAGCGAGTGGCTCAGCCAGGGGTCGAGGAGTGAGAGATGCCACCTTCCTTCTAGAGGGGTCCCTAATGCTCAGACACTGATATTGGACCTTCAGTTACATGGCCAGGAAAGAGTCTAGAAGGACACGATGGGTGGATGCCCAGGGGCCTGCGAGGCAGATGGGCAGAGAGCAGGGGCCGCTGCGGGAGAGAAGGAGAAGGGCTGTCTCTTGCTCTGCTAGAAAAAGTCCAGGTGGCCCATCGACCTGGGACCACCCTCTATCATCAAGGCAGGTGGGGGGTGCTGCCTGTCATGTTCCATGCTCAGCATGGACTGGTGGGGGTGGGCTCCCTTCCACTAAGATAGCCCTGGCTGTTCATCTCAGGTGAACGTTTACATCATGACACCCTCAGACCCAGGTACCCCAGGTACCAGCCCACGGCTGGCTTTCCTCCAAGAAGATCTAAACTTCCATCCAAAGGCAAACCACAGGGGCTCCTAGGGATTCAGCCCAGCCCGGGGGCACTGTGAGCCTGGGCAGGGGGCACTGTGAGCCTGGGCAGGGGGCTGGGTGTCCCATTCTTACCCTGTCAGAGGTCTGCTCTTCTTAATTTCAAAGAACTGTGTCCCTGTGTGATTGTACCTGTGGGAGCTGGTTAAGGACCGTCTGGGTTCATCTGAAAAGGTGTCCCTTTCCCCTGCCCATCTCCCAGGAGTATAGGCTGGGTAAGGACACAGCAAGGGGCCTCCTCAAAGCACCTTGGAGGATGCTCAGACCTGATTCTCCTGGAGGGGAGACAAGGGCACAGGGCGGGTGGGTGCCTCTCCTTCCCCCTCACAGCCCCTTCTCTTTCCTCCCCCCTCCTCATCCTCTCCAGCTTTCACTCATTCTTTCCTGGCCTCCCTGTCTCAGACGGGGACTTTGAGCAGACAGCTGATGGCCAGAAGCCATAGCTGGGAACGGCTTCCTGAAGCACTGAATTTTGCAGACAGAGGAGGCTGGAGGGTGGGGGTCCAGCTCAGCCTCCAGTTGCTAGGTGTTCCCAAGCCAGCCTCTCCCTCCGCACCACAATATTCCCACTGGAGAGCAGAGGGACGGGGCCTGACTTGCAGTCCTCAGTGGGCCTTTCTCTATTTGGGACCCATGTCTAGTTCCCCCACCTCGGCCTCCTCTGCAGTCAGGAGGGCTGAGGTAGAGGACCCAGGACACTGCTCTGGGGCAGGGGGAAGGAGTTAAGGGGCCCTCCAACAGGCCTCAGGCACCCACCTCCTCGCAGGCTGGGCAAAGGGCCTCTTGCCAGGAAAGACAAGTTGAAGAACCAGGAGAAAATTCCAGGATGTGCAAGTGACCTCCTGGAGCTTAAAGTCCCTTATCTTCCCCATTCCCCACACTTTTAAAACCCTTTTTCCAATACCCCCAGGGAACCTTCTTGCTGCTTCCTCTAGGGCTGGATGGATGACAGGGACCACCCACTTCCTGCAGCCCGTCCCAGGGGCCACTTCCCTCTCTCTCCCTGTCACACACAGGTAACAGGGAAGCTGGTGAGGGAGGGGCTGAAGCAAGTCATCAGACGAAGCCCCCCCAGCTCCAGGTAGCACAGAGATGCCTGGGTGAATCGCACCTCGAAGCTGGGGAACCAGGTGGCTCTGTGGACACCTCTCCAGCTTCCTCTGAGGCAAGCCCACTTGGCCTCTGGTTGAGTAACGAGACGGTGGTCATGGACCCAGACCAGAGAGGATACTGCAGCTCCCTGATGTAGCGCTGCACGGCTTCCAGGCGCTCGGGGACGGGAGTGGAGGGCTGGAAAGTAGGCACACTCGGTACGGGGATCTGGAGATACAGAAAGAGCTCTGGTCACAAGGACAGGCTCACCCTGAGCTTCCGGCCCTGCAGACACCAGCATTCTCCCCCGAGAAGCCAGACCCTGGGGAGAGGCAGCTTCCTTCCCTCTTGCCCAGCCTCCTTGCTTGGCAAACCTTCCTCCCCTCCTGCCTTGACAGCATTTCTATACAGAGCTTGCGTGGACTTTCCAATTTTATGCTTCTTTAATAATTTTAGCAAAACATAGGTTAATTCAGCAACTGTTCGTATTTTTACATATTCATTCACTTCAAGGCTTAGGGAGAATGTCAGTATTGGAGTTAAGCTCATTAGGTGTGCGGTTCACTCTATGCTATGGTGAGTGTGGTTTGTCCCCCAGAGGTGTGGGAGACTTGGTCTTCAGTGTGGTGATGTCAAGAGATGGGTCCTAGTGGCAGGTCATTATGTCACCAGAGGCCTGCCCTCAGAAGGAAAGAAGGCAGTTTTCTTCTTGTGGACGCTGAAGCAGATCTCAGGGTTGTCATAAAAGGAGCATGCCTGACCCCTCCCCCTTCCTCTGGCTTCCGCAATGTGACCATCCTTCTCTCACCTGCTCTCTAACCATGATGCCATGCACCGCCACTGGGCCCCCACCAGAGGCTGAACTAATGGCATTGGGGTCACCAATCTTGAACTTTCATCATCCAAAGCTGTGAGCTAAAAAGACTATTTTTCTTCCTAAGTATCTTGCCACAGGTATTTCATTAGAGTAACAAAAAACAGTGCTGGGTGTCCTAACGTAGTACGCCTGAAATCCCAGCAATGTGGGTGGCTGAGGCAGGACTCCAAGTTCAAGGTCAGCCTCAGCAACTTAGCAAGGCCCTCAGCAACTTAGTGAGACTCTGTCTCAAAAAATAAAAAGGGCTGGGGATGTGGCTTAATTGTAAAGCTCCCCTGGGTCCAATCCCTGGTATCAAAAAACAAACAAAAACCTATAACAGGCTTTCCCAGAGTCCCCTCCGCCCAGGGTGATGTCTCGGGAGAGATGAAGATATCTTAGCAGTGGACATCACCCACCCCAGTAGCACAGGCACATTTAGCAGGGTTTCCAAAGTGCCAGCCTGGATTGTTGGGGACACCTCTCAGTGGCAGCAGGGTGAGAGGACTTATTTTGGGACATGTCTTCTTGTAGCTCTACTCACCAGAACCTGGCTGCTCAGAAGGGTCTGACAAAGGCCCAGGGCCCTTGGGGTCTCCTTTCCCACCAGCTCCCTACCTCAGCAATACGGGAAGCCAGACGGTCCTCAGAAGGGACTCCCCAGCATCAGCCCGGCCAGGCGGGACGGGGATGAGATGCTGGGATGCTGGGAGTCAGGCAGCAGAAGCAGACCCTGGCCTTCCCTCAGCCAGGCAGCCTCCAGGAAGGAGGCCACATGCAGGTGTGGACCCCCCCCCACCCCGCCCTTCAGCCCCGGGAGCCTGAGTCCTGGCATTTGGCTGCCACAGTCAGAGAGGCCAGGGGACCAGGAGTGCATCCGTGAGGGTCCTCTGAGAACTCACAACAGATTCCCTGGGTAGAGCCAGACCTTCAGGGGCAAAGCCACCCCTCTGGGCTTCCCTTTGGCTACCAGCACAGGGGGCTGTGAGATGGCCTTAGGCTCCGCACAGGGCGGTCCCACCCTTGCCCCATCTCTTTCCCCAGGCCACCACCTGGTCCTCTAAGGTTACACCGGGCTCTCTCGCCCCAAGGGGCTGGGGCTGCAGTGGGGGGTCTGTGGGGGCATGTGTGAAGGGCGGAGAGGGGAGCCCTATGGGGGAAGGGCAGGACCCAACTCTTTCCTTCCTCTCCTTGGCAGGCTTCCCAGAGGAGGAGATATGGAGCCCACAGGGCACAGCCTTTTAAATGCTGTGGTTTTGGTGGCCGGGGAGGAAGGGACATTCTTCTTATCATTTCTGACAGGGAGGAAGGGACATTGTACTTATCACTGCACACTCACATATGGGGCCTGCTGATGGCAGGGGACACAGAACAGTGTCTACCAGATGCCTCCTCCCTTCACAGGGCAGAGATGCAGGAGAGGAAGGGCCCCTGGTCCAGAGAGTCTTGCGCAAACAGCCCCTCCCCCTGCCGGGTCCTCTCCCTCTTGCCTGGGCAGTCCTTGTCCCTGGCAACCACACACGCCCACGCAGCTGACAACCCAGTCTGGAGAAAGCTACTTCCCTTGGCACGTTACTCTCCTCCTCAAACTGGTGCCACCACTTACAGTCACTAGTAGGATAAAAGTCCAGGGGTGGGGGCTCCCCCTCTCCCTGCCTGACCACCCTGTGCCCCATGGCCTCCTCTGTGTCAAGAATATGGGGGCAGAGGGGGGAGGGAAGTGGTATTACAGGAATCACTGAGCCATTTCCCATCAACAGCACTGCACACCCATTCAGGCACCCAAACTCAGGTGGCACCCAACCACAGGTGGCACCCTCCTCGAGGCAGGGAGTTAAGGGGGCATCCGGTAAGGGCACCTCCCATGAGAAGCTCCAAACAGGGAGGGAGCTTCGGTCCAAGAACCATGCAGAACCAGGCTGAGGCTGAGGCCAGGAAGTGCCCACACGAGCATCGAGAACACGGGCACCTGCCATCTAGAGAGAGAGCCCAGGGACTAGCAGCTTTGCAAGAAGGAAGAGAGTCCAAGAGACTGGGCTTCCCAACAGGGCCTCAGAGTCCCCATCACCCAGGCCAAGGAGGAAGGAAGCGTCTGGCCAGCTCCCTGACTCACACTGCCCCAGTGCGCTCTACCTTCTTCCTCAGCGTCCATGACAAACACAGACCCGTTCACTTGCTGGTTAGAACTCTGCACATCCAGGTGAGCAGGCCACTTGGGGACTGGTCTCCTGGATTTGACCTTCAACCCCCACCTCCAAAACAGGAGGCAGCAAAACTTCCTCCCTGTTGAGGGGTGGGGTCAAGGGGCACAGGGCGGGCTGGTGATATCTGCTACCCAGATCTCCCTGGCAGCTCCTCCTCCATGATCCCAGGCAAGGGTGCCCCTGGCCCCAGGAGTCCCTGAAGGCCTGAGTCCCACAGGACAGTAGCACTGGTGCAGCCCCTCAGCCCAGCACAATGAGGCGGCCTCGGGAAGGAGGGGATCGCTGATGGCAGGAGATGACAGAGCACACTCCAGAACTCGACATGCCATTGAAGCCCAGCTCCGTGACTTCAGTGATGCTCCTCAACTTCTGTGTCTCAAAGCCTCGTTTTAAGACAGGAACCTTTATAGAACCCATCTGCAGTGCAAATGGGTTGCTGCATATGGACACCTGGCGATATAGCTCAGTTGGTAGAGTGCTTGCCTTGCATGCATAAGGCCCTGGTTCAATCCACACACACACACACACACACAAAAAAAAAAAAGAAGAAGAAGAAGAACAGGGCCTGGCATGTAGCAAAGCTCAATGTCTGTCCACCAGCACTCCTACCCAGGCATGCCCATGAGATGTCCAGATTCCCACTCTGCAGGTGCTTAATGGCCAGAGTCACGGTTAGACCCTCAGCAACTGGGTGTCATAAGCAGCCACCAGGCTTGTAAAGGTGGTGACAGCTTGAAATGGCAAGGGGAGATTGTCATCAAGGAGCATCAACCACTGCTGGCTTTGGGATCCTTCTAGATACTGTTGCTCTTGGCCCTACTGACACCATCCTGGCAGAAGCTCTTTCTCCAAAGCCCTGTGTGTGTGTCTGGGGTGCTGCATGCCAGCTCTGTGCATTTTGGAGCACCTGCTGGATGCTTCTCTAATGAGGCCTTCCGTTCTTTCCACCATTCATCCTGCCCAACATCCTCTGAAGTGGGCCTTGCCCATTGAGCCCATTTCACAACTGAGGAAACCGAGGGCAAGGGGGTTGCACACCTTCCTCCCATAAGTACATGCAGAAGAACAAGATTTGAACATGGGGGCTCACTCCAGAGGCGCTCCTTTAATCACACTACCTGGCAGGGGCCCAGACACAGCTGCCTACCTGGGCTGGGCAGGTAACAGACACTGGAGGGCATGCTAGCAGGGGGAGGGGGCTGTGGCAAGCTGGGGGAGGGAACCCCTCCCCAGCCCCTGCTGCCATGTGAGACTGAAGCCTCATTTGTCTCGTTTTCTGAAGGGATGCCAAACCTGTGTTTTGTTCTGTGAGAATCTCCCCATTTTAGCTTTTGGCTCAGGTGGGCTTTCAAAACATAGTGTAGTTGTGACAACACTTCCTGGACCCACCACAGTGACTTCGTAGAAATGCCCCATGCCAGCTCCAACATCACGGCTGCTAGGGAAGGTGTGCCCTGGGGACAATGCTCTCTGAGGCTCAGGGTATGACACCCACCACAGCTGCCCTTCTCCAAGGCCTCCCTTGGACTCGGGGCCAAGGTAGTGGAGGAACTTCCTGCAGACACAGGTGACTTCTCTGAGACACCTTTCCCACCACTCAAGGAGGAGAACTTTCAAATTTTTCCAAATCTTTAATAAAATTCCTCCCACCCCATCACAGTCCTGTCCACCTCAACTCCTTCCTCCCGGGTAGCTTCTTTCCCTTACCCATCCCTTTCCTGTACATCAGAATTGAAGATGACAAAACGCTATCACTGAGCAGTTCCTAGTGAGCTCACCGGTGTTTTTTTAGTCCCTAGAAGTGGTGACAGCCCTACAGGAAGCCATTCACACTCTCCTGCATCCCTATTTAGACATAGGACAATGGTGGGAGAGCTGCCTGCTCAGCACCATCCTGCTCATGTGGGACAAGTGTGCCACTCTGGTTTCATTGGCACTGATGCTCTGAGTAACATCTACTCCCCTCCTCCTGAAGAAAGGGAGAACAGGTAAGAGCACCCACAACCAGTATTGGTTTGGTATTTTCCAGTTTGTCAAATGCTTGAACACCTGGTGACTCATTCACTCTTCCCCACAATCAACCCCGTTTTACAGATGAGAAAACTGTGGCTTAAATAGGTTAAAGGGACCTTCTTGAGGTCATATAGACAGGCAGGTGATCCAAACCAATGTACATACCCTTTGACTCTGTGTGTGTATGTGTATGTGTGTGTGTGTGTGTGTGTGTGTGTGTGTTTGTGGTACTGGGGATCAAACCCAGGGCCTCACTTATGGTAGGAAAGTGCTCAAATTTATCCCAAAGGAAAAAAAAATCATAGATGGATCCCATATTTGTTTTAGAATGTTCAACACAGTGTTCATTTTAAGAATAAAATCCTGGAAACAATGTCCAACCACACATTAACTAAATAAATTATAAGTCAGTACAGAGGATCATGATGCAGCCATTCAAAATCAACCTAGTTTTTCTCTCCTGGAAACATTAGACAATAGCTCAGCCCTCAATCTCTGACTTGTTTTCCCAGGCATGTATTTATTTATTATTATTATTTTTTTTTTGTGGTGCTAAGAATTGGACCTAGTGCCTCATGCATGCAAGGCAAGCCCTCAATCACTGAGCTACCACCCCAACCCCTTCCCAGGCATTTTTAAATGGCTCTACCAATAACTTGGTAAAAACAGGCCACTTTTCCCCATGCATAAGCCTCTCTAATTCCATTCTCCCTAGCCCCCACCCTTCTCACCTGAGCAGGTAGGATTAGGCATTGTGCTCTGACCTCTGCCCAAAGGGTTCTGTACTGGAGACACTGCTTCCTTTGACTTACTGGTAACGTTTAAAAAATATATCAGACATGAATTTCCTATAGCACTGTACAGGGCAGAAACTCTCAAATACCCTTTCATTCAGCAGACACACATCAGTGCCTGTTCTGTGCCAGGCACACAGGAGACCTTGGGAGGACAAAGATGAATAAGATACAGCCTCTGCCTTCCTTGGCAAAACAAGTGAAGTATTGCTGTTATAGAGGAGTTCCAGCCAACACAAAAATTACTTAATTTTACTCTTCTCCATATTTTTTCCTCCTTTATTCTTAATTTCCCTGAACCTAGTGTTCAACAGAGCAGAGACACTGGATTCCAAACCCCTGGCGCTCAGTCCCCACTCTGACACTGGCTTGACTTGACTTGCTACTTGTGCTTTGATCTTCCTTATCTGTAAAATGGGGACCCAAAGTGCACTTACTTTGCAAGGCTGTTGGAGAATTCAGTGAGGTAACACCTGAAAATAGTTCCTCAGCATATGAAGTCCTGTATTTCCTTAGTCCTTTATTATCTGTCTGCTCCAAGTTCTCTGGCTTAGCAAGTATCATTAGCCAAACAGATGTCAAGCCATATTAGTTTGCTTGTTAGTTATCTAAATCCTGCCCCAAAAGTGATGAAGGAAAACCTCCCTCATAGAATGATCCCAAAAGCAGTGGAGAGAAAGTTCTGGACAAGTATGACCTGTCTAGTTTTTAACTCTTACCACACCTGTGGTTGCTGCCCTAGCCATCAGAGGAAGAGTGTGGCTTTGCTCTGCCCCAGGTCACTGCCCTAGCTCATCCTGTGCCCATCCCTTCCACCCGCATCCATGCCCCATGCCTCACCTTGGGCAGGTCCGTTGCTCCACGGATCCGCTGCGCCACTTTCTCTCCATCAGGGTGGATCTTGGCTACATGCTTCCACATCCTTTCCCAGGTGGCTTCGTCCACAGGCAGCCCACCCCGGTTGACGAAGAAAGGGACGCCTCCATCTCGCAGGTCCTCTTCCCCTTCCTCTTCTGGCTCATCATCTCTCTGGGCAGAGGCCCCTTCGCTGGTCTCCAAACGCCTGACCCCAGTAGGGGCGGTGACAGTGGCAGCAGCAGTTGGGGCAGCACAGCTGCTGCCACCCCCAATCACCTTCTTCCCTCCTGGCATTCCTAAATCCTCGGCGCCGGTGGGAGGAGGTATCAGGAGGCGGGAAAAATAGGTGGTTCACAAGAGGCCTCCCACACACTAGCTGCAGAAATAACACATGGCCAAACAGAGGGTAGGGCGCCTTTAAGAAACCAGGGCGTGGCTCTTGTACAATGAAATACTACTTGGTAAGAAAAAAAAATCAGTGCATCAACCTGAAGTGGGGGCCCAGGGGTGGGTTGTCCTGGGTCAGCCTTAAGGGCCTTGTTTTGTTTGAAAACCGGGATAAAGAGACTACACCCCAATCCCGCAGCCTTCACAAAGCACCCTCATTGGGCAGCGAGAACAATGACGGGCAGCCGGGGGGTGGGGGAGTCGGAGGGAAACTGAGGCCAGACAACTCGGATCTGCGGCCGCGGAAAGGGAGGGTCAAAGGCACAGTGCCCACGCCGCCCGGGCGTCCGGGTTCCAGTTTCGAAGTGAACAAAAATCCCTCTACAAAGCCTCGCTCGCTCACACCTGTGCGCGCCCCTGGGGGTGGAGGGACCGCGGCCACGGGGAGCCCGGTGAGCTCCGAGTGGGGACCCCCGGGCGGGAGGGCGACGCGGGGGAGCGATTTCTCGGACGCGACAAATCCGGGAGCCGAGACTCGCAGCTGGCGGGGCGCGGGGAGGGGGCGCGCGGCGACGCGCACATTCCACGCCCGCGGCCAACTCCCCGCACAAAGTGGGCTTTGTCTGCGCCCCCGCCTCCTCGCCTGCGGGAGCCGAGCCCGCAGAGGGGGCAAGGCGCGCGCGGGTGGGTGTCCAAGACCCGGAGCGCGAGGCCCCGCCGGTCCCAGCCAGTCCCCAGCCGGGCGCGTCTCAGCGGGCGGACGGCGCCAGCCAAGCCATCGCGGGGCGCGGTTCCCGCGCCAGGGCCCGGAGCTCAGAGGGACCGGCTCGGGCGGCGCACAGGGGCCAGTCCGCGGTCACCGAGCGGCGGGCTCCGGCCGCGGGGTCGCTGCCCCAGGCCGGCTGCAGCATGGGCGGTGGCGCGGCCGGGGCGGGCGGAGGATGCTCCGTGGCTGTCGGCTCGGGCTCCCGCTGCCCGGCTGCGGGATGGAAGGAGGACCGCGGGGCGGGGAGGGCAAGCCTCGGGCTCGCGCAGCCACGGCCGGCGGATGTAGCTGGAGGCGAGTGACAAAGCCCGGGCGGGCGCGGACGGCGCTGGCCCCCGGGGAGCAGCCTGCGGACCCCGAGCCCACGGGCAGATGGCGGCTCGGCAAGGCTGGGGTCGCCGCTGCCAACCCCGCCGCGCCAAGGCCCGGCTGCGGCCCGGCTGCTGCCCGCCGGGTCCCCTGCCCTCCCGCCGCCCACCCGGCTCGACTCCGGCCGCGCCGCGCATGCGCTCCGTCCCCCCCTTAAAGGGCCAGCGCATTCCCGCCGGGTCCTCCCCTCCCGCAGACGTCCCTCTGCTCCTAGTTCTCTCAACCGCGCGGTGGGCGTTCGCTCCCTTCTCACCTTTCTTTTAGGGCGCAGCAAAGACCGTGCGGTGTTGCGGAGGAAGTTTACAATGGACCGAACAGAGCGCAAACTCTAGGAAGATTCCTGGCGCCAAAGGAATTCCTGCGGTCGGGAATTTCCTAAAGTGGGTACCACGTCGGGGACCTCAGCGTGGGGCAGCGAGAGCACTGGTCTGGGAAGCCCGGGGTCAGCGCTTGTTTTGCTCAGGGACATTCAATAGATCACTTCCTCTCTGGGCCTCAGCTTCCACATATTGGCAGAGGTGATCACCAATTCAAGAGTCCCTCCTGGCGCGTCTGCTCCTTAAAGGGGGACATCTAGTAGAGGAAATGAAAGGGTGAAAAGTCATCCTGTTTCACCTGGTTCCTGCCCCGGGGGGAGTGGGACGCCCAGGGATGTGACTAGTCAGTCTCACTGGACTGAACTTTGGATGCCCATGTCCCGCGGTCATGGCAGGATGGATGCTTCTCCCTAGGGTTGTGGGACCACCACATAGAAGTGGGAGTCCTGGCTGGGGAGAGCCAGTCGGTTCAGAAAACGGTGAAAATACAGCTGATTGTTGTGCTTGGCTCTTGGACTTTGGAGGCACAATGCACCCTCCTCCTCCCCCATCCCACCGAGAAGTAACTCTCTGAGCTCAAGCTAAGAACTTTGCTAAAGTCCACAGCCTCTCCCCCTACTGGTATTTAGTAAGAATAACAGCCTTCTGGGGGAAATGCAGATTCCTGAATGCTATAGACTGGATGTTGAATGTCTTCTCAAGGTTCACGGGTTAAGGTTTTGGTCCACAAGGTGTTATTCTGAGAGGGAGGAATCTTTGGGAGGTGGGGCCTTGTGTAAGGGATTTTGAGACTTTTTTTTTTTCTCTTTCTCTTTCTGCTTCCTGACTGGTGATCATAAAGATTCTACTGTGCCATGCCCTTATAATATGCCACCCTAGCCAGAGGCCCAAAATTATGCACTACCCATTTTGGATTGGAACCTTCAAAATGGTGAGCCAAAATAAACCTTTTCTTTTTATGTTACTTGCCTCAGCCATTTTGTTATAGTAACTGGAAACTGACTAATACATTAAGCTCCATCAGGCTGAGTTGTATTCCTTAGATCCACATTGTTGCATTTCTTGATATGCGGAGATTTCCACACTGGTGGTATGACAGGGAGTCTAAGAGACTCCTCAGACCCTCAGTGGTTCCCCATCTGCTACTTAAAAGTTCTGCCCAATATCAGAACATTCTGGGTCCCCTGAGCTCCTCTTGATGCTTCCAAGATCAGAAACCAAAGGTATGCAGTCATGGGAAAGGTTCTGTAACTCCAAGAAAGTTAGTTAAGCCTGGATTCTCTTAAGAGGGTCAAGAAGTCAAGACTTCAAGCATGTCTCTGTCACTAAAGAGCGCCTGCCACCTTCTTACTGTACAAATAGGAAAACTAAGTCTTAGAGAGTAACTTTCCCAAACTCACCCAGATAACAAGTGGCAGAGCTAGAATTTGAATGGAAGCCTTCCTTCTTCAGAGGCTCAGTTTCCACCCCATACTGTGCCTTTTGTGTTAGCCAAGTGCTTGTGGTGGTTTTAGAGCATGTTTATAAGTTCTTATGCTTCTCTCAAAAGATGGAGCCTGGCTCCCCTCTCCTTGAATGTGGGCTGAATATAGGGAGTCTAATGAGTAGAATGTGGTAGGAGGGATGCTCTGTGGATGCTATATGACTCTGGAGGCTAGGTCACTGAGTCAGCATCCACACTTTCCTGGAAGACACCAGCCCCACCATGTTGTGGGGAAGCCCCCCTGCATGGAGAGGCCACGTCAGTATCCTAGCTGACAGTACCCACTGGACTCTCAGCCCACAACCAGAATCAATCTCCAGGTAGGTGGTAGACTGAGACTTCAGTGGATCCCAGCTCCAGCCTTTGAGTTCTGTGACTGAGGTTCCAGACATGGAGCAGAGAGAGACCAACCTCACCATGCTCTGTCTGAAATTGAGATATAAGTCATCATTGCTGTTTTAAGCTGGTAAGTTTTGGGGGTAATGTATCTGATTTTGGGGTAAGTAATCTAATGCAGCATTAGATAATTAGTACTGTGGATTTCTTGAAATAGATCTGAAATATTCAGAATAAATAATACATTGACTTGGGGTATTCATTCAAACATTCAAACAGTAAATACCTCTGGAGCACCTTCTATGTGTCTGGCTCTGTAGCAGGCACTCAGGATACAATAGTAAGCCAGGAGGATATGGTCTTTGCTTTTGGCCCACTAGGAGGTAGAAGTGTTGCCTTTGTCCTCTGCCAAAGAGTTAGTACAGAAAGCTATGAGAGTGCACACCCAGGGCACTTTCCCGTGAGTTAGGAAGCCAGGGCAAGAAGAAATAATTTGGGCAAAAGACTGTCATAATTAGTCTAGAGAATTTTCTGACATTTGTGCGTAGAGGTAGGAGGGAATATGTGTTAGGCAAAGGGGTCAGCAAATAAATTAGAAATTGTGAAACTGGAAGTGGATGTGTCTAACTCAATTCAGTCACAAGCCCAGAGAGGACAAGTGTCTTACTGGATGTTGCACAGCTTGTGAACTGGACCCAGGTCCTGAGTCCTTTGTCAAACCCTCCCTTGACTCCCTAACCCTTATGTCCTGGGAATACCTATAACAGACACTTGAGTAACTCCTTATTCGGCTCAAAGGATTTATGACCATCATCTCTTTTGCTGTCTTTACAAAAATTCAGGAAGAAGTTTAGCATGATTCCCATTTTACAGTTGAAAAGAAGCTAGGCAAATTGTGTTCCTAGTTCCAGGAGCTGGTGTATCAGAGCTGCTGGGTACCAGGGACTTTGATGATGACGAAGATGATGATAATGATTCTTAGCTCATATCCTGTATCACTATTGTGATCACCGTGCTCTGGACTAATGTTCTAGAAACTAACACACAATGTCTTAGGGCATCAACACTGATATCAGTCTTCTCTGACTCATCTTCTATTCTTGTGGCATTGAAGCTAGAGTCAAATTCCCGGAGAGGACAGTCTGGTGGACTTAGCTTGGGTCTTGGGCCCACTCTGTGGCTGGAGGACCAGGAGCAACTTCCTTAGCTGCCTGGCCATGATTTCTGGTAATGGAGGCAGAGGGCTGTTAGTAAAGGAGGGGTGTGGGGAGCACGGGCCAAGCTGTGTAGGTAAAGGGCACACACTCCATATGCTCACGGTCCAGTATGGTAGCCAGAAGTCATATGTGGCTATTTAAATTTAAATTCAACCTTAAATAAAATTAAAATCAGAGTTCCTCAATCACTAATCACATTTCAAGAACTCAGTAGCCACCTGGCCTGGTGGCGCACACCTGTAATACCAACGGTTCAGGAGGCTGAGGCAGGAGGATCGCGAGTTCAAAGCCAGCCTTAGCAAAAGTGAGGTGCTCAGCAACTCAGTGAGACCCTGTCTTTAAATAAAATACAAAATAGGACTGGGGATGTGGCTCAGTGGTTGAATGCCTCTGAGTTCAATCCCCAGTACCCTCACCTCGCTAAAAAAACAAAAAAGAAAACCCCCCAAAACAAAAAAACACAACTCAGTAGCCATATTGGGCTCATGACCGCTGCAGTGAGCTGTACAGATTATAGCATCTTCCCATAATCACAGAAATTTCTGTTGGACAGTGCTACTCAATGATTCTTATTAGGATTCACCTTTCCCTTTTGCTGTTTTACCTCATTAATTATGAACATGGAAAAAGCAAAAAAGAAGGTGAGTCATAATCTTCAGCCCTTTATTCAGCAGGCATATGCTAAGCGTCTGTGTTGAATCATGCATGGTTGTACACCTCAGGGATAACTGGGAGGGGCCTCAGATATCCTCGGTTCCTTAGAATCGCCCAGGGAACTCTTGATACCTGGGCTCCACCCCGCAGAGTTTCTGATGAAACTGGTCAAGAGAGAAGCTTGGTACCCAGAGTTCAGGGAGGCTCCCAGGTGATGCTAATGTGTAGCTGGGCTTGCGAACCAACGGAATCCGGTCTGGCCAGTGGAGTGATTAGCTTCAGATAGACCTGAAAACTTGAGTCAGCCCGAGTCTGAATTTCCCTCCAGGGTTCTTAAGACAAAAATCAGAGTTCTCTGTGGATTTGTCCTCTGTCTGAATTGAATGCAAAATTCTTAGAGGAGAACAAGACTCCTCTTCTTTCATCCAA